TGGGGTGTAGGGGATGGAGGTGTTGGGGGTGGAAGGGATGGAGGTGTTGGGGTGGAGGTCGCCATGGAGGTTTGGAAGTAGAACCGACGATATGAATAGCAGTGTAGAAAGTAGTGGTGAGCGTTGGCAGGGATGATGATCAGTGCTCATGGTCGCTATGATGAGGAAGAGGAGAAAGAGAAGGGCAGGAGAGGGTAGACTGCCTGTGTGGCTGGAACCCTCAAGAAGCAAGAGGGGAGAGAGGCTCTGCTTACCCCAACCCACTGCACACAGCTTGAGCATATATTGACGGATGTAGATGTTGTAGACGCGCACCAGGAGGAGGTAGAGGTTGAAGCCTTCGATGGCCATCCAGGTGAGGCAGCTGAGCAGCGCAAAGTGCAGGATGGCCGCTAGTGCTGTGCATGCTGCCCCGGCCCTGGCCAGCACAGGACTCAGGAGGAAGGCGACGTTCAGGAGCAGCACAGACGCATGCAGGTTCATGTGGATGTGTGTTGTGGAGTCACCCTGCTTCCTGCGGGTGGGAGCATGCCCTTCCGTGGCCTGGGGACATCACCTAGGCAGTGCCACCCCCTGGGCTCACGGACACACAATGATGGGAACACTGAGGTTGAGAGGTCGCGGGGATCCAACAGCAGCCACACAGCAAGGCTGGTCTCCTGCTCCCATCCCCTGGAGAAGTCCACCCCACTCTGGGGGATCAATTGGATAAGGAGGGGTGCTGAGCAGCAGCGGGTGGGCGGTCCTGGCACGGGGGCAGGGGAATACCTGGCTTGGAAGTGCAGCAGGATAGTGAGAAGCGAGGCCACGACGGAGATGCTGCAGCCCACCAGGGAGATGTACGTAAGAGGCGCCAGCAGCTCTGCGGGGATCGGGGCCGGGGAGAGTTGCTGCAAGAAGGAAGGGGGGATGGAGGACAGAATGCCCTCCCGGCACTCACAGGGACCTGCTAAGATCTCAGCTCCAAGCTCCCCTGCCCCACCACAAAGCCTACCATGGTCCTGACTTGAAAGAAAAAGCTCTGGCAGATACGGTGGCTTTTGCCCCCCTCAACTCCCATCTCCCCTCTCTCTATGAGAACCTCCCCTGCCTTGCTGTCTATGCACATAGACATATATGGACACTGTGCGTGGACAGTGCACCAGGCCTGACTTATCAGAGCCTTCCCTCCTCCTGCCCAGAGTGATTGATTGAGGGATGGGAATGTGACACACTCCAGGCCAGTGGGACTCAATCCTCAAACTAGCTGGCAGAATTGGGAAAGAGCCAGTTAGAGCCTACTGGCCTAAAAGCTAGTAGGACACGAGCCAGGATCTGCTAGCAGCCATATAATTATCCTGAAGGGAAATTCCGTCTGAAGCCCAGGCCAGTACAAAGCAAACACAGGTGAGAGATATAGAGCCTTGTCTTGGTGATCTTGAACATCTTGATCAAGCCATGTCTGAAGCCCAACATAGCCTCTTCAGCCACAGGAGTTCATACGTTTCTCTTTTTTTCTCCTTAAGCCCATTTGAGTTGGATTGTCTGCCACTTGCACCTGCCTATGCCCTGCTCCTCTTGCCTAGACATGGGGTCCTTTACAGCTTTGACTCCCATCACCCAGACTGGATGCACACATACCATGAGAACAGCAAAGTAGCTGAGGTGGTTGCAGCGGCAGAGCACCTGGGAAGGTGACGGCTGCTCTGTGCGACAGCCCTCGGGGCTCCAGACCCCCCAGTGATCCTTGCTGGCTCCTTCCTTCCAAAAGACACAGGTCGCTGTGTAGCCTTCCTAAGGGGAGATGGTAGAGTTGGGTATGGAGGAGGTACGGGGTAAGGGGTATGGGGGAGGGCCGTGGATCAGAGTCTGGAAATTGTGGGGGCCAAAGCTGATTCAACTGCACCCTTGTCAACTTCTTACAAGGCACTGGCTGGGCTTTGGCCAGACGGACCCAGATTCCAGACTCACCTCCACTATGGACTCTCAGAGTAACCTGGGCAAGTTGCCAAGCTTCTCTGTGCCTCAGTTTACTCATCTGTAAAATGGGATCCTCTATACACAATTTCTCAAAGAGGGTATTAAATTACGGGCAATGAGGAATCTTGAGTGACCAGCTCTGGCTGGACAGTAGGTGCTCTACAATCAACTGTGCCCTTTCCCCTCCTCCTCATGGGGAACAACGATATTGCAGGTGCACTGCCCAGGGCGGGAAAGAGACTCATCCACAGACAACCCTGATGCTGAGCCATGGGGGTGGTGGGGTGGGAGGAACGACACAGAAAGTGCCATGGAAAACCACTGAACAAGGGGTAGGGGAGTCCCAAGGAGGGAAGGGACGATTGGGGCACTGAGGTCTTTGAGGACACATCAGATCTCAGCAGAAGTGGAACGAGGGCAATCCAGATAAAGGGAACTGCGGGAGCAAAGGTTCAGAGGAAAGTAAGGGAAGGATGATGGAGAAAATGAGAGTGCAGAGCAGTCTCATGAAGCTGATGAAAAGTCAGGGCAGAATGTAGAGTCTCTGGGCTTTTCTGGAATGCCAGGGCCAGGAGAGCAGAGACACCAGGGCTTGTGCTCACCCAGCAGCCCTTCTCCCTCACTCCAGGACCAGCTTCTGAGCTTCCCTTGAAGACCCATACCTGCCCCATGGCAGATCAGATGAATCCAGCCCAGTCCCCAAGCCGTGTGACCCAGGCCTGGCCAATCCACACGTTCCATCCACCTGTGTGCAGTGATGGTGCAGGGATGGACACATGACCCAGCTGGACCCTAAGGACTCCATTTTGGAACCCTCGTTTGCACCGATGAGGAAGAGCCTCCTGGGAAGAGGGGATGGAAGTCCAACACTTTTGCTGCCATCTTACCAGAGTAGAGATCCAAGATAGGAAACCATTGCTGAGAGATGGAAAGAGGCTGAGCCAGAATGGCATTGCATCAGCCCCTGGATCCAGCCAGGCCTGAAGCTGGACAGCCCTGGACATTTCATCTGCATGAGCCCATCCTTTCTGTGTTTAAGCTGGCTTGACTTGGCTTTGCATCACTTGCAACTCAAAGAATCCTGCCTAATGTGGTAAGTAAAAAAAATTAAGCAAAACTTCTCTCTCTGATTCCTTTGACAGGAATTTTCAAACTGTGATCAATTTGAAACGGTTTGTTTTCAAAATGCTTCCACGGGTGTGGGTTTAGTTGAGCCAGAGTTCAACAGGAGCCACAAGGGGCAGGGGCGAGGTGGAAATGGGGGCACCCCCAACAGTACCAGGCTTCGGTTGTGCCAGAAGCTGATGTTGATCGGCTCACTGAGGTTGTTCACGTGTCCGTGATTCAGCTGGGCTCCCAGGACATAGTTATTGAGCAAAGATGAGTTGATACTCTGGAAGGACAGCAGAAGGGCTGACTGGAGAGGATGGATGCATGGAGACCCCGGCTGAGGTCCGAGAGCCCCCTTCACCAGCCCCTTCCCCCGGGTGAGAACAGCAGTGTGCCTTCACATGTGGGCCAGCCTCCTAGCCTTTGCGTATGCTGTCCCCTCCACCTGGAAAGCTGTCCCTTCAGCACTCACCCCCCACCTCTCCGCCATGGATTCAGTGCATTCCAGCCTCCATCTGTCCTCGCTCACTTTCAAAGCCAAAGTTAAAAACACCTTTGTCTGTCTCCCATCTAGGGACAGACACATCCATGGTAGATTTCTTGTAATTGCACCCCCAACACCATTCTCCTAAAACCAAGGCCCAGAAAGGACAGCGGCTGGCTCAGGTTGCACAATGGGCTGGTCCCACCTGGTGCTGGTCCCTGTGCAGAGGCCAGGCAATGGTACGGATGCCCGCAGTGCCCGCAGGAAGGGGCCGGCACCTACCCTGCTTGGCCCCCGTGTGGCACTGACCTGGAAAAAGTAGTCAGTGAAGAAGTAAATGCAGATGAGGCGCAGCTCCCTGGGGCGGGTCCTGCAGGCATTCTGGGTCAGCTCTGCCGGGAACTGCATGGCGTGCGGCACCGAGGCCTACGGGCAGCCATGGACGGGCTAAGCCACACCCGCCCCCAACACTTCCACTGCTCCCCACTCCTTGTGAAGCCTTCCCATCCTGTTCTTTCCCTGGGGCATTTCATCCCTAGGAGCCTCCACCTGCAGAGCCCTCTCCTCCCAGGCTGTACTTCCTCCCCAGCTTCCTGAGATCCCAGGCCTTTCCTCCAGGATGCCCCTGCCTCGATTTACCCCACCCAACTGGGGCCCCTGGGGATGGAGCTCGTCAGCCCTCAGCGCCCAGACGGTCAGCGGGAATCACACCAGAGTCTTCCAAGGACCCTGGCTTCCCTGGCCTCTCCCACTGCCGCCTCCCCTCGGGGACCTGCAGAAGCAGGAAGAGGACATTGCCCTTGAGGGGCCACAGAGCACCCTCTCTTTCCACCATTCACGTGAGGAATGTCAGCCCCATTTTACAGAAGAGGCAACTCACAGCTATTAGGGCAGACCAGATTAGTTGGGGGAAAGTCCAGACCTGAAGCCCCTGGAGGATTTCTAGGGTCGAGACCCTGGCTGCCCTCCATCTCCTGGCCCCCTCTGACCTGGGGGACCCGCTCCAGAGTCGCACTGCTCAGTGCGAGGCCAGTGAAGTCACAGCCCAGCTTGAAGGCCAGTGTCTGGATGCTGTGCGTCTGCAAGGTAAGGTTCTTGCCCTCGAAGCTGGTGTTCAACAGGCTGCACTCCAGGCCCCGGATAAGCCTGAGGGTGAGAGAGCTGGCCAGGGTCTGGAGTGGGCGTGGGGGCAAGAGGGGCCCCAGACAGCCAATAAGGGCAGGGCCTCCCCCAGCCCACATCTGCTACCCCTACCTCCGGACCTTTGCACACACAGTGTCCCTGGCACACTCTTACCTCTCCACCCCACTCATCCACATCTCCTGATTACCTCTTGTTCAGGTCCAGGTCTTTGGACACCTCCTTCAGGAAGATTTTTCTGGATTTTTTCTGCTGACTGAATGAAATGCCACATAGTCCCTATGCTCCCCCTGGCCAGTCATCAGCACCATCCCCTCGCCCAGAGCTGCGAGACCATTCGAGAGCTCGGTCCAGCTTTGCAACTCCTTCCCAGGAAAATGCAGAGACCCACGATTCTGCACCTGATTTCATGGCATCCATAGTTAAAGGCCCTAAACCAGACAGCAAACTTGATAAGGGCAGGGACATGGTTAACCTGCATCTTCCAAGCCTCGTGCTGGGCACACAGTAGGTACTCAATAACTGAATGTTGAATAAATGGATTAATGGTCTACACTGGACAACCCTGGACCACTGACTCAAGGCACAAGCTGGGGGTGGGAGGCACAGCTGACTCAAGGGGGGCGGGGAGGGCCGCCCAACTCACCCACGAAGCGAAGTCACATTGCGGCTCCTGGACATCGTCTCCAGGTTCTCCATCCAGCTCAGGGGTTCTTGGGACTCCTCTGCGGGGCAGGTCACGCCTCCACATCAGCCTCTGTCCCCACAGCCTCTGGGCCCTTCTACCACAGCCTCAGCCTTGCTGCTGCCCCGGGAGACCTCAGTGCCCTCTTTCAAGCTCCCTTGGTTTGGGTCGCCCCCTTTTCACATCACAGCCACGGGCCCGGGCTCAGATTGCCCCCCAGTTCAGCAGCACCCCCTTACCCACTGTATCACTGTGAGCAATCATGAGGCACAGGCAGAGGAAAAAGACCCTATGGTCATCCATGTCCTGTTCCCAGTCTCTTCCAAAAACTAGTTTCCAACCTGGAAAAGATGCATGCCATTGTCACCATGGTAAAAGAGTGAGCTCTAACTTCTAGGTGTCCGGCATGTCCCAAAGGTAGGACATCTAGCATTTTATATGTTTTTTAAATGTTTATGTATTTTTGAGAGAGAGTGAAAGAGCACAAGCAAGGGAGGGGCAGAGAGAGAGGGGAACAGAGGGTCCAAAGCGGGCTCAATGCTAACAGCAGAGAGCCTGATGTGGGGCTTGAACTTGAGAACCATGAGATTACAACCTAAGCCGAAGGCCGATGCTTAATCGGCTAGCCACCCAGGCACCCCAGGACATGTAGCATTTTAATTAATCCTCGTTACTCCTGCATTTCACAAATGAGGAAACTGAGGCTCAGAGAGCAAGTGGGCTTGCTCTGCTTTAGGCTCCCTGAGCCTGGTCTCTGCGACTCCAAGAATCCCAGATTGTTTGTTCAGAAATGCCCACCATTACCACCTTTGCCTGAGTCACTCTCCCTCCCAAAACAATGGTCTGTCTGGGGGCTTCTCCAGGGCGCTGACTTCACCCAGGGGGAAGTTGCTTGGGAGCAAGCAACAGGTAACCTTGTTCTTGTTGAGCTGTGTCATTAATTCACTGTGTGACTTTGGGCAGGGGTCTGTCCCTCTCAGCCTTCATTTTCTGTGGTTTTAAAATAAACCAATAAACGTCTGCTTAACTATAGCAAATCTATGTCAACCCCCCGAAACTCCACTAAAATGAGAGTGAGTGGATAAATGGGTGCAAAGCCACAAAGAAGAGGAAAGAAGTCAACAGCAGGTGAGAAATGTTAGCAAAACTTAGGAGGTTCCAAGCAGGTGACCACCTGGTAATCAGTTTAGCCAACCGTAAAGAGTTGAGCCCCAGTGTCTGCAGGAGGGAGAGGTGTGGAGTGAGGGAGGGGAGAAGGGGAGGGGACAGGAAGAAGGTTTAGAGCCCTGGGAGCACTTGAGAACCAGAGGCATCGAGAACCTCTAAAAGAAGGGTGAAGGCAAAAAAATGGGGGATTGATGTTGGTGAGTCTTTTAAATGACCAGCTGGGGCCCCAGATCTCCTCTGTCACCCGGGGTGCCCAGGACTGTTGTCACCACCCTACCACCCTCAACCGCATTCCAACATAAAGTTCATTCCCGGGAAACAGTGCATGCCAGAGGACCTGAGGGCAAAGATGGGATGCCATTCAGGTATAGAAAAATTAAGCCATATCCCTTCCTCACCACTTCCTCCACTCAGCTACCAGAAGCCTGCAGCAGCCAGGTGACGATGCTCTAAGCCAGGAGACAACTCTTTGCTGAAGAACTGGCTATTCCAAGAAAAGTATCCTATAGCTACTGAGGTTTTGATGTTCCTCAGTGATATGGCCAGGACCGAACTCAGGTTGGAGCTTTCCCAGTTATCAGCCCTGACAAGCAATAAGGCTTTAGTGCTGCACTCTTAAAGGTGAGCGGTCAACCGAGGATCACTAGGTATTTTAAAACATACACCCTCTTTCAGAAAGCTGCTGGAGGATGCGCTCCAACAGAATGAGGGAGTAACTTGTGAAAGACAACACAGGACACAGGAAACCCCAGCGGAGAAGAGACAAAGCTATTCCCCTGGTTGTAGGTTGGACAGCAGGACCGGGTATATCCTGTCCAGAAGGGAGCAGGAGAAAAGAAGTTTCCAGGAGGAAGGCTTCAACAAATAAAAGGAGGAGAAGGAGGAGATGATACAGATTAATTGGGTGAAGCATACACAAAATCTTTCTGTACTATTTTTTTGGAGCCTCCTATGAATTTGTCATTTTTTCAAAAGTAGAAGTTCAAAAATACAGTACACGGATCGCCACGTCACTATCGAAAGTTATGATGTCAATAGTAACATAAAAGAGGAACACAGTATATTATTACGCATTGAAAAGAGCAAGTTGAACATAACACTCACAATATAATCACATGTATGGAAATGTGTGCAAATATACATGCTTAAGCCTAGGAGGGTATCTAGAAGAATGGTCACCAAAATGCTAATAATGTTATGGGAAGGAGGATTACTCTCTTTTTTATGTTTTCTGTATAGTTCACATTTTCTGCAACGAACATGTGTTATCTTCAAAACAGAAAAGCAAGTTTTTAATGCTTAGAGTTTTTTTATTTTTTACTTATTTTTTAATTTTTTTAATGTTTATTCATTCTTGAGAGACAGAGAGACAGAGCATGAGTGGGGAAGGGGCAGACAGCGAGAGGGAGACAGAATCTGAAGCAGGCTCCAGGCTCGGAGCTGTCAGCACAGAGCCCGACGCGGGGCTCGAACTCACGGACCGTGAGATCATGACCTGAGCCGAAGTCGGACGCCCAACCGACTGAGCCACCCAGGTGCCCCAACTTAGAGTTTTTTTTAATGCTCCAAATGACTAGCATTATGGAAAAAATAATGGTGACATATTGCTTATGTAAAACAAAAACCATGTTGCAAAGCAGTGTAATCCAATCCTTGTAAAAGTCATATTTTTTCATATATGCAAAATGTGGAAGATGCAGGGGTCACTTCTGGGTACTAGTTTTGACTGCCCGTATTTTCTGAAGTTACCCTGTGTTATAGTTATATATTTCGATCTTTATTTGCTCTTTGCTTTTGGAATTTACATCTTTCAAATATAAACAATAAACAAGCACACAAGCACATAAAATCAAAGTATCCCTGCTGCCCGTGTCACCCAACCACTCGGTTCCTCGTTCGTCACCCCCAGGTAACTACTATCATTAGTGTTTTGTGGACTTTCCCAAGTTTCATATATAGATAAGCACACATGGGGCACTTGGGTGGCTCAGTCAGTTAAGTGTCCAACTCCTGTTTTTGGCTCAGGTCATGATCTCACAGATCAAGTCCCGTGTCAGGCTCTGTGCTGACGGCGTGGGGCCCACTTGGGATTCTCTCTCTCTCTCTCTCTCTCTCTCTCTCTCTCTCTCCCTCCCTCCCTCTCTGCTGCTCCCCTGCTCTCTCTCAAAAGAAGTAAATAAACTTAAAAAAATATATATATAAGCACATATATATGATTCTCCTCATTTTATTAAAAAAAAACACACTTTTTCCTGTTATGCACTCTGCATTTTTCTCTTGAAAATATATCTTGGAGAGCTTTCTGTAACAGTTCTAGAGCTTCCATTTTTTACTATTACAACCTCATAGTCTAACGTTGGAGGGATAAACCCTAACTTCTTCAGTGGGTGCCCTGTGAACAGCTAGTTGTGTTGATTTCAGTCTTTGGTTCTTTCCAAAGTGCAGCTGTTCTGATGTCATTTCCCACGTGTGCAAGTTCACCATCTGCCCTTTTTAAAAAAAAAAAAAAAATGTTTCTTTCTGTTTGAGAGAGAGACAGAGACAGAGAGAGACAGAGTGTGAGTGGGGGAGGGGCAGAGAGAGAGGGAGACACAGATTCCAAAGCAGGCTCCAAGCTCCCAGCTGTCAGCACAGGGTCCGAAGCGGGGCTCGAACTCACAGACCGCAAGATCATGACCTGAGCCAGGGTCAGACGCCCAACCAGCTGAGCCACCCGGGAGCCCCACATCTGCCCATTTTTACATCAGGTTCGACTCTTCCTTATCTTCTCAAAACTCTTCACATAATAGGAAAATTAGCTCGTTGTCTACTGTGTGAGTTACAAATATATTTCCTAGTTTGTCATTTGCCTTTTAACATTACACATGGTCCTTCTGCCGGTAGGAATCTTTTTTTGTATGTATAATTTTTATGTAATCAGAATTAGCAGCATGTTCTCTTAGGTATTCTGGATTTTGAGTTGTAACTAGAAAGGCCTTCCCTGCTCCAACATTACAAAGGAATTCTCTTAAGTTTCTCCTTGTCCTTTTAAGTTTTCATTTTTCACATTGGAACCTCCAGTCCATTTGCATCGATCCCGGAGTACAGTATGAGATGGGGATGTGATGGTTTTTGCCGGGTAGTCGTACATGTGTCTTAACACTATTAATATATGTGTTGATTTTGAAAAGAGAATAGAGACTTTGGAGTCACAGAGTGCTGGGTTCTTATTCATTTGGCCACTTGGTTATTTATTAGGCTGTGTTACCTCGGGCAATTGACTTGCCCTCTCTGAACCTCAGAGAAGACAGGAGGGAAAACATTTGAGGGGACAAAGGAAGATGCTGAATGAAACAATTTAAAACTTTTCAGATAAGAAGTCTGAGGACCCAACAGCGCAGACAGATCTCGGGTCATCTTGTCTACCCCCTCACTGTGTGAATGGAGGCCCAGACAATGGTGCAGATTTGATCTCTAGGGTCTGGACCGTAAAGCCAGCTCCCCAGGCCCCTGGCCACCCTGCTCTGTGTCTACAGAGGGAAGAGGGGCCTAACCCCACCACCAACTGGAGAAATCAAGGTCAAAGCAGAAGTGACACCTCTCCCAGACCCCTCAAATAGCTGTGGTTACCACTCCCTTTCCCAGGGGGCAAATCACAATCCTCACCTCTGCTTAACACACCCCTCTCCCCTGCCCTTCAGAGAAGCCACCGTGCAGCATTGCCCCACACCCTCACCCGTCTCACCGTGGCCCACAATTCATTATCTGAAGCTCCGTGGGAAACAGAAACCCCCTACCTGATGTCCAAGACGGTTCCAGTTGACTGTGGGGAAACTGGAAACCACACAGGAGTTTGCCGGGGGAGGGTGATGGCAGTCCCGTGGTCAAGCCAGGACTCAAACCCAGGGCCCCAGGCTCCAAGTCCAGTGCTGTGTGCCACAGGCTCCCGAAGATGGTTGGGTTGCTCTACAGATGAGTAAGCCTCTATCTAGGTCAACAGAGAGATAAGGAAACAACAGGGTGCAGACCAGAGCCTCTAGGAGATGCAGATTTGATAGCCACTTCCAGTATTCAGTGCCTGGGCTGGGACGTGGGGCAATAACTCTACTTCTCTGTGCTTGAGGGCTTCCCATCTGTAAACTGAAGCCAAGGACACC